GTATCGGGAACGGATCGATATCGGGGAACAGGGACGGGGAGCATGGGGGTATCGGGAACGGATCAATACCGGGGAACAGGGACGGGAGCATGGGGGAAGTAGGGTGGGGGAATGGGATTGGAGCAAAGGAGGGATGGGGACTGGGGCAGCAGCGTCACCCAGCCCGGTTGGGGCTGAACCCGGCATTAAGCAGGCTCTCTTGGTGCTGGGGCTGGGACAGGTCAGGGGACCAAGCCTCAGGTGGGTCAGGGGCAGAACCGACCCCCCAGCTAGGGCTGGAGGGGAGGGCTGGCCCCATAGGGCACAGGGTGTGCAGTTGCAGTGGAGGGGTTGCATGTCACCAGAGCAGGGTCACTGTCACCTTGCTTGGGTCCCCCATATAGCCCAGCACCTGGGGTGGGCTGTAGGGCTGGAGTACTCAGTGCTGCGCATACTCCATCACCATCTGGGGAGACAGTGGGGCCGGGTCAGTGGTCATGGGGGCTGAAGGCTGGAGAGAGGAGACATCTTCCCTAGGCAGACCTCTCTAAGGATGTGCTGGGACCCTGTGGCTGTGGAAGGGATTCAGGAGGGGCCAGCAGGGCTTGATCAATGCCAGGGACTCACAGCAACTCTGGGTGCTGTAGGGCTGGACCATGAGCTGGCTTTCTCCAAGATCATTGTGGAGCTACGGAAGAAGCACCCGGGCCACATCCTGGCAGATGAGGACCTGCAGTGGGTGTTCGTGAATGCGGGCGGGTGGATGGGCTCTATGTGCCTCCTGCATGCCTCACTCACCGAGTATGTACTGCTTTTTGGGACAGCTGTCGACACTGGGGGCCACTCAGGTAAGCAGGGTGAACAGGGCTGGTGGGCGGGGGGTTTCTCTGAGCTCTCTCCACTCCACTCATTTGGGTCTGGCTGCCCTGGCCGTGGTGTGCCTGGGGCAGGAGCCCACTGCTCCGCTTCTTTTACGGGGTGCACAATGCTGGAAAACACCCTCCGCGTGGGGACCAGCCCCCGTGATGTCCTGCAGTACCTGCAGGTCCTTGTGCATGCCATGTCGTATGGCCAGGACTCTCCGCATCCAGCTGGCAGGCGGTGGCAGGCATCGCATCTCCCAGTGCTTCAGCAGGGAGCGAATGCCAAACACGCTGGAAACGTTGGGGCTTAAGGACACTGAGTATCCCAGGCTGCTGGGATATGGCCAGTCACACAGGCAGCCTGGGTACCAGACCTGACTGCGCTCCTCAGTGTGTTGAGGCCCTGGGGCTGGCATCCTTCCCTGCCGGGGGGCTGCTTCGTGGCTCAAACCTGGGCTTACAAGCCATCCCTAGCAGGGATGCGCTGAGCCAGTGCTGCATGTCCTCCTGCAGGTCGGTACTGGGCAGATATCTCCGACACCGTCATCTCGGGGACCTTCCGGCAGTGGAAGGAGGGGACCACCAGAAGTGAGATCTACTATCCAGGTAAGCGCAGCAGCCATGGTGCCCTGCAGGCTGTGTCCATGTCCCGCGGCATGGCTGCTCTGCGGGCTGGTCCTCCACTGTTGCAGAGCCTCTTCCTTCCAGCTGGCAGAAGCCAAGAGCTCACGATGGGGCAGTTTGTGTCCCCTGGGGCATATCCCAGCATCTCAGTGGGTGCCAGTAAGAGAAAAATGAGCAAGACTTCGGGGGGTTTGTGGTGCACAGACCGAAGTGCTCAGCCCTGCAAGTCCCGGTCCCACACATCTCTTTGGGAACAATGTGGGGCAGCCACTGTGAGCAGTGCTGGTTGTGTGTGTTGACAGGGGACACCATCGTGCACCAGGCGGGAGAGGCCACGTCAGTACAGTGGAGCGCAGGCACCTGGATGGTGGAGTACGGCCGGGGCTTCATCCCTTCCACGCTCGCCTTTGCCCTGGCTGACACCCTCTTCAGCACTCAGGACTTCGTCACGCTCTTCTACACCCTGCGTGTCTACGCCAAGGGCCTGCTCCTGGAAGCCAATGCCTTCTTCAGCACCTTGGGCTGCTGAGCCCGGCTCGCCGGGATGCCCTGCCAGGCACGGCTGGCTCCTCTCCTCCCAGCCTTCCTCCCTTTTGCTCCTCCTCCTCCCCGAGCCCCGGCTCTAGCAGAGGCAGCAGGAGACCCCCTGTGCCTCCCCCAGATTGCTCTGTCCTTCCCCATGGGCCAGCTGGGTGCCACGACAAAGGGACCGTGGCGGTCACAGCAATACAGATGGCCAGTTCCCTTGACTACCTGCCTCTCCCCCCTTTCGATCGGAGCCATGTCCTGCTTTTCCATCCTTTGGGGCTGGAGTGGCCTTGCGGGGTAAGAACACCCCTGTGTGCCCTCGGCATGCCACAGGAGAGGGGCTGGAGCTGGCTATCCCCAGGCTCCACAAAATTTCTGCAGCTCCTGAGACATCAGGAGAAGGATGCCGCCCTCGGGGCAGGGTGCATGGGGTGAGCCTGGCCAGAGCACCCGCCGTAAAGGTTGGCTGAGGGGTTCCCCATCTCCCTGGCAGGCTGCCAGGGCTGCAGGCAGCGCAGGGCGCTGTGTCCAGCTGGCAGCATCTCCCATGGCTCCGTCCCCACTGATGTGGGTTGGCAGCACACAGTGTTACCCTGGCACAGGGCAGGATCTGTGCTGGGACCCGCCAAGCAGTGAGGGATGCCCAGCCTCTGGGCTGGAGGTCCCTCTTGGTTCCCTGTGTGTCATCTGCCCCAGGGGACAGCTGGGGCTGGAAGAGGGTCCCTTTCCCCACAGTCCCCCTCCCTGCAGTCCCCCCCAAGGGGGAGGGCCACCGTCTGTCGCCTTAGCCAAGAGCCCGTTCTGCGTGGCCTCTGGCCTATGCACATACCTAGTGTCTGCAGGTGCCCGAACCTCTGTACTAGCTCAGGATGGGATCTCGCCCCTCGAAACGCTTCCCCTGGCTGTGAGACCCCCTGGGGACAGCCACCCTGCTCAGTTCTCAGCGCAGGGCCCCAGCCACCGAGGGAGCGCTGCGGTCCCCTGTCTGAGCCTGTCTACGGACCCTGCTTGCAGCCCTGCAGCTCGACCTGTGCGGGCTTGCTGGTTGGTGGAGGGCTTTCACCTCCGTGCTGCTGCCAAATTAACGTGTGTGTCCCTGGTCACCGGGCCTGTAGCATGTCGCTCCTCCTGTTCCCTGAACTGTCCCCATCCTGCCGACTGGAAGCCCCACACACGGGCTCCTTCTTAACTTGCCACTTGAAAAGAGATATCAGTAATAAAACTGTTCATCCCACCGGCTCAGGTCCCCGGGAGAGTCTCTGGAGTGTACTGAGCCCCTGCCACAGGGAATGGTGCTGGATCCCCCCACCTCCGGGCTCACCGGCGATCCTGCTGGCAGCTGGGGACAGTTGGGTGTCCCTGGGCAGCCGGCATCATCCCACCCGGGGTCCTGGGAGCCGGGGTGTGCAGTGCTGGGCAGGATCAGGCCCTTCTCAGCTCCCGGCGACTGGCGGGGGATGGTGCTGTTACTCCTCCCTCCACTGCAGTCGCTGGGGACCAAAAGCCTGGGCTGGTGCCAGGGCCCTGCTTCCACGGGGGACCCAAGAGTCCGAAGGACTCCATCCTTTTGGGGACAGTGCTGATGCTGGGCATATGGCCCTGCAGGTAGACAGACCCAGGTGCAGTGGATTGGTAGTCCTGAGAAGTTTACACAGACACACACCCACAACCCTCTGGTGTGAGAAGGGCACAGGAGGGAAACACAGGGTGTGTAGGCTATGTGTGTGCATGTGCGTGAGTTCACATGCTGGCAGAAAGGTTGCATGCGTGTGTGTATAGGTGCAAGCAGGATGGTTTTGTGTGCGTGTGGCTTGGCAGGGCAGTTAGGCATGCGTAGGTGTGTGCATGCATGTAGGTAGAACAGGTGGGGGTTGCACATGTGTGCGTGCATGTGTATACAGGTTGAACAATTGGGCATCTGTCCATATAGTCAGAGCAATAGCACACGTATGAGTGCTCAGGCATGTATGTGTAGGACATTTGTGTATGCTCATCTGTGTAGGCAGAAGAGTCGTGCATGTGTGTGTGCCTGTGCAGGTGAGATGAGTGTGTGCACGCGTGTGTGTGTGCACAGTCCAAGTGAACATGTGTGTGTACAGAGCAGCAGGACAACCAGGTATACGTGTGTGCACACCTGTGTGCCCATGGGCAGATTGTGTGTGTGTGCAGATACGCATGTGGGCAGGCTGTGAATGTGTGCATGTGTGTTCCCGTGGGCTGCGAGGCCACCCTGACCCCATGCTGTGCCCATTCCCTGGGGTTTAGCGGGGGCCTGTTGAGGAACACGAACAATCCCGTGCTGGCCCGTGCAGGAAGGCGCTAACTCAGCAGCTCGTATCAATACCGCTCCACTTACAGCGAAGGCCGTGTAATGAAAATCCAATGGGCACGCTGGTGGGAGTAAATAAGTATGCCATTAAAATGAGAAAATCAAAGCTCTGGACAGGTCTTTTCTCTTGCCCATTGATTTCTTTTATTACGGAAATATTGCTGCTAAATAACATTAGTGTGAACAATCTCAGCAGTGTTTTCCGTAGCACCCGTGTCAATAACCCCATCGTGGGTGAGGGATCCCCCCCAGCCTGGCCACGGGGCTGGCAGCCCCGTCCAGGCTAAGGGCTGCTCCAGGGGTACCTTCCTCACCGTGCCCAGCCACACTGGGATGTGCCTGGCAAAGAAACCGGGCAGCACAGGGTGGCTCGGGCAAGTGCTACTGGGATGGAGCTGGGCTGGAACCCAGGAGCCCTGGCTGCTTTACTGTGGTGGGAGAGGTTGTCCCCATCCCAGTGCTGAGCTGGGACAGTGCCAGGCATGCAAGGGTCCCAAAAAACAGCCCTTCCCTTCGGGGCAGGTGTTTGCAGCCTGTTAGGGAGCAGGGAGCAGATAAGTGTCTCCAGTGACGAGCAGATGAGGGATGGGTCCTGGACGTGGCATGTCCCGCAGGCTCTTGCTGCCTCTTCTCCTTCCTCCCCACTCCTCATCCATGCCCATGTCCATGCTGGACTGACCCAGCTCCCTGCATCTTGTCGTCATTTGGTTCATGTGGAGAAAATGAGGCATGGGGTGGGAACTCATCCGTAGTCACCCAGCTCCAGCACAGACCTTGTGCCAAGGCCAGGGCCTGCACTCAAGGTCAGCTGCCCGCACACAGGTGCCCAGCATCCTCCGAGATGCCGACAGGTGGCAGGGACATCCCTGCGGGGCTGGAGGATGTGGCCAGGACACACGGGAGATACGCACCTTTTGCTACCCAGAGGCCAGGTGGGACCCCAGGGCACCTCAAAGGACACCAGACCCCTGTGGGGTGGCTGGAGGTGGGCAAGGAGACAGCCACGGGCACCTGCACTGTGGGTTCGGCTCTGTCCCAGCCCCAGCTGAAGTGACTGTGAGCGGCAGCTCCCCAGAGCCATCACCAGGACAAATGCACATCGCTGCCCACCAAACACCTTCCCCCTGCAGCTCGCTCTATCTTGCTGTCCCTCTGCACGCAGTGGTTATTGATCAGCCCGCAGGATCTATCTCCTGATTCCTCCTGCAGTATCTCTCTGCTCTGAGTATCTCTCAGTCTGCTCCGCTGTCTGCTATGCCCGTCTATACCTCCAGTATCTATCTGTGCCGCCTCCACCCCAGCTGTCAATAGCCGTTTGTCTGGGGGATTTCTCTTTCTCTCCAGCTAGGAGCGTTACCAGACCCCAGAGGTACAAAGAGGCCGAGCAGCAGGGTGGAGGGGACACAGCCCTGCTTGCTGCCCTGGAGAGAGCCTGAGCACAGACACACTTCGTGACACATGTGCAGAGCCCCAGGGCTACTGCTGTCACCATGGAGGTTTTGGGAAGGAACTGAGCCGTGCTGGCTCAGCTGGGCCGGGTCCCTTGGTGGCCATGCCCAGGGCAATGGGACACACTGCACCCCATGCATACCTCGGTGCTGCCACTAGCCAGCCTGGCCACATCCCCCACCCCTGGGTGCCATGTTGACCTGAGCACTCCAGCCCCCCTGCCCTGGAGGAGGGGAGCTTCCCCAAACACCTGGGGTCCTGCTGGGCCATGGAGAAATCCCGTCACCATCACCACATCTGATTCATCCCACCCAGCCCAGCCTTCAGCCCTAGCTCCCTCCTTGCCCTGGTGTGCAGGGGATGGGGCACAGCCCAGTGCAGAGCATGCCAGCACCCTGGGGTGCAACGCAGTGGCACTGGGAGGGGAAGCGAGAGCCCTGTGTGATGGGGACCTATGGAACAAGTCCTGGGGGGTGGCTGGCCCTGTGGGTCCCTCTGAAATAGGGCCAGGTCATATCTTCCCAGGGGCAACTCAGCAGGATCATCAGCCAGCCGCTGACAAACTGATGCTCAGGGGGGCTGGCAAGCACTGGGAGGTCCCTATCCGTGCCGCAGTGGGATGGGATGGGCCAGGGTGAGCTACAGCTGTCCAGCCCTGAAATGGGATGGCCAACAGCTGCTTTATCTCCTGCGCAAAGATAAACAGCGCCTGGGGGCCCTGCGGGGTTGGAAGCTGCCCTGCTCTCCTGGGGAAAGGGGCTCATTTTTCCAGGAGAGCCTTTCTGGTGAGGATGCTGTGTAGTGCCGAGTGCCGCTGGGCTGCCAGGAGCTCAAGGAGCCCCAGGGCTCACCAGCACTGTGGAAGGACGAGGGGCAGTTTCTCTGGAGATGCTCGTGGGGAAGCCGGAGAGCGCTGAAGCGGCAGGTTTTCCCCACAAAGGGACGCAAAGAAGGGGGCAGAGGCTCAGCCTGGGCTGCAGAGCCCGAGAGTGAAGCCAGCTCCTGCCGCAGCTGTGGCCAGTGGCTGTTTCTGCAAGACGCTCCGAGGAAAGGACAGGACTCAGCTTGTGTCAGGCTGTTAAAAGCAGCTGCCCCTGGTCCCTGCGGCACGCAGGTGGCCCCGGAGGGGACAGAGCCAGCACCCCTTGGCACCCAGAGTTCTTGTCACCCCATGCCACCAAGTGCAGCAGCATGAGGTCTCAATGACAAGCTGCCCTGCCTGTGGGATGGGGCCAAAGCCACTGTCCCTTGTGTGCCAGTGTTGTGGGATGCTGCTGCTGCTCGTCCCCCAGGGACCTGTGCAAGCCCTGAAGCTGCCCCA